TGAGCTACAGAATTCCAATGGCATAAAACTTATTAGACATTGCTAAAACCACATTCAAAGCAAGGAATCATTGAAGCAGAAAATTTAAAATATCTCACAGAGAAAAAGTAGGAAACAAAGCTTTTCTATCTTCTCAACAGTCAAGATATCCTTCATGTATTAATGTTATAAACAATTTTAATCATACATGAGCTCAGGGAATTTTGTACACATGAGCCTGTCTTGAGGGATCTATTAAAATGTGTGCATCCTCAAACTAAGTGGTGACTGGAAAAACTTTAGCAAATAAAGAGATGGTTAACATTTAATATTTTAATTGGAGTTGTAAGGCTAAATCACAAGTGGAGTGTTAATTTAAAATATTTGGGAAGCAAAAACCAAGATGAAACTACACGTCAGAGGATTATTAGGGCTACACACCCCTGAAGGATAAAATGGAGACCTTCAGAGAAGACAGTGATACTCTTCACACCACAATTCAGGTTTATGAATCACAAGATAAAGAAATGAGGATTGAGTTGACTCAGATTTCTGCATGGTTCTCAGAAAGTTATGGCTCAGCCAACACATTCTCAAACAAATATCCTCATTAAAAGATTCTCACATTCCTCAGATCGTAGGAGCCTGCAGAAAGCCTTGACACAATGTAAATTTGGGGTAAATTCCGTAGTTGGGACTATCAGTTAATAATGCTTCCTACTACAGGAGGTCTGAGCTGTGAAATTTTATGGCTCCCACTGTCCACGCTTTTCAGTATTGTTGTAGGACCTAGGACAATTGGCCCTACAAAGATGTCCCCATAACCTACAAATGTGTTATTTTACATGATAAAGAGAATTTGTGGCAATAATTAATCAATCGGTTGCCTTAAAATAGAGAGATTCTCCTGTGCTATCCTCACTGTATTAACGTAATGACACAAGGCCTTAACAGGAGAAAGCTTTCTTTAACTGGAGGCAGAAAAGCTGTGGCAGAAGATGAAGTCAGAGTGATTTGAAGAATGAAAAGGACTGATATATCATTGTCAGTTTGAAGATGGAAGAAGTTATGTGATGAGTAATGAAGGTGGCCTTATGTAGCTGAAAAGGGCTCCTGTCTAACCTAATGAAAAACAAATAGTAAAATGGCAAATTTCAAAGCAAATATATCAGTGATTATGTTAGCTTTAAATGAACTAAAAAACGATGAGTTCATGTCCTTTGTAGGGACATGGATGAATCTAGAAGCCATCATTCTCAGCAAACTGACAAAAGAACAGAAAATCAAACACCACGTTCTCACTCATAGGTGGGTGTTGAACAGTGAGAACAGATTGCCACAAGGAGGGGAGCATCACACACTGGGGTCTGTTGGCGGGGGCCAAGGAAGGGACAGTGGTGGGTGGGGAGGTCGGGGAGGGATAACATGGGGGGAAATGCCAGATGTAGGTGATGGGGGATGGAGGCAGCAAACCACATTGCCACGTCTGTACCTATGCAACAATCCTGCATGATCTGCACATGTACCCCAGAACCTAAAGTACAATAAAAAAAAAAATGAACTAAAACTTCATTTGAGCTGCCTTCATATTAGTTTCCTCAGCCTTCCTTCACCCTGTAATATTTTCAGCCCACTGTTTACCTTGTCTCAGTAAAAAGTTTCTAATGCCAAAAAGGAAAAAAAAAGACAAAATAAGTAAAAATTCATAGAAAACAAATTAATAGATTAATTAAAAGATGCAGTAAAAGTAAATGAATAGAAAAAGATATACAATGCAAAAGGTATACAATGCAAAAAAAAAATACAAAGCAAGCTAGGTTTTTGTGTTCATATTTGTGTAAGTAGCTTTTAAAGAAAGAAGCATAAAATGGCCTTAAAAAGGCATAATATACTTTAAAAATATAATTGAAATTGTAACATGAACAATTTGTATGTGAGTAATACGATAAT